TGTTGTATATTATTATAAAAAAATAATAATTGAGGAAAGAGGATCAAAATGCTGACACACAGTGTATCTCTAACGAGATATTTCATGAGTTTTGGCATAAAATAATACTGATAAATCATCATTTTCTTTCCAATAATTGGATTTTCCCGGTTTCTTGCTCTCGTTATAATATACAATATACATATGTTTTTACAAATGTATATTTATTAGAATTAAAAATGAAAAGGTTAAGCTTTTGTTTTGTATTTTGAAAAGAATCCAAACTAGTCAGCTGATTAATAAAATTTTCAGTTATTTTAACATGTGATTTTAAACAAACACAGAAAATAGCATTCCCACATCATGTAGTCCGTTAAATATTAAATTTTGTAAGTCCACAAGTTGAAAACTTTGTCCATCAGATGTTTCATCTGCCTGTAATACTTTACGAATTAAGAAGTAAACAAAGATAATATTACTTTTTCTTAGCATAACTTTTATTTAACTTATTCTTAAAGATTTTTCAATCGTATTCGTCGGCTAACAGTAACGAGTTTAGGGTCAAATATAAACAAATGATTTGGGACAAAAATTTCTTCTCTTAAATATTTAGAAAATTTAGATATCAAATTAGTTAAACTTCTACTGTCAACACAAGTGTCTTCTTAAGTGTCAACATAAGTCCTGATAATATTTGCTCTCTACCGATGATAGTATTTTTTTTCAACCAAGTTACAAAAAAAGAACATATTTGGAGTTAAAATTTTTGGACAATATTTTTGCCATCTCAATCAGTATAAATAACGTCAGTGTTTATGTCAAATTCGAAAGCAGAAGTCAACTCGAATAAAATATTTAAGCGCTACTTCACTTCTGCTAAAAGAGTTTTAAAGCAAAAGTTTTCATATGGAGTCCTGTTCTCATTTGTGGTTGGAAGTACGTTATATCAGTGTTGTTTTTTGACAGGGTAGCGAGTCCAGAGATGAGCTATGAGCATTGTTGGCTTTTAACTAGTTATTTATAGTATTTTGTCCTTACATTTGGATACTGTTTCCCTCTTACTAGTGTTCTTTTGTTTATAAATAAAATTCTGTTTTGGGTAATTATAAGTGGAGTGTACACTACATTTTACCATGCAAAAAGTATTGTCCTAGCATACGATTTTTTGTAAGTAGTTTTCAAATCAGCTCAATACCGCGAGCTTTTAAGATATAGAATGAAATTACTACTACGGTTTTTCTAGAGTGCTTCAATCTAGAGTTCTTCGAGGGGTGTAAACAGGTTGTTTAAGGGTCGACAAAACGCTTGCAATGCTCCTTGTGTCAGAGGTGTCTATAAGCCACTGTAACTGTTTAACCTCAAGCGAGCCATTACCTTGTACGTAATGCTTTATGGCATTAATATACTTTATACAAAAAATATAGAAAATATTCGATTTTTAACTCTACTTAAATGATTTTCATTAAATTGTAACTGGTAACTTTTTTAAACTTAGGATGGTCCTGAACTTTTTCAATGCACCATGATAAGCATTAAAAAATTATCTATAAACTTTGAGGACCACAATTTCTCTTTCTAAAATACAATGGATATAAATGTCAGCAATTTTATATATATACTAGTTTTTGCCCGCGACTTCGTCCGCGTTAGTTTGGTCAAGAGTAATAATATGTAGGTATACCTGCCCAGTCGAACTCTATTCCGTCTTACAGGCCATAAATAATCAGGTTTTTTCTGTTTCAATCAAACAGAATTGACATATTTGTTAGTTGTCAAATCTAATGTCAAAAAAAACTTTTGTATGGGAAATAGAAAAGGGCTGTTTTTATGGTTTTCCCAGTAATGAATCAATTTTTCTCACCTTTTAAACCTTCCCTGGACTTCCAGGAGTATTTCAAGACAAAAATTAGCCAAATCCGATCAGCCGTTCTCGAGTTTTAGCGAGACTAAGGAACAGCAATCCATTTTTATATATGTATATAGAAGATAGAAGATTTCTATGCTTTCTTATTAAAAAAGTGTTGTTAAAACATAAATTAATCACAATAAACAAAATATATTGTACCTACTGTTATTTTTAGATGATAAAACTGCTCCTAAACAACAAAAATTGTAATATTAATTTCAGTTCCAGATTATCTACAGTGTTATATTAATGCTTAAATTTTGAATAGTTATTCATTTATTTCTGTTCAACATTAGAGGAAGAAGGTCCTTTAGCTACTGCGTTTATAAGTTTTATCACTATTTTTAAATATTTTAATTGACTAAGCAATAGGGAATGTCGTATTTTATATGGAAAAATTGTTGAAACATTTTGTAAAACTAGTTATCATCTTCGGAACATGACAATTCAATCACGTCTAGTAATTTTTGGTGGTTGTTAGATTTCTCAAAATTGGACAAACATTAATACGGATGCCTTTTTAGAATTTACCGGCCGCGTTTGATGCAATAATTAATTAATTTCTAATGCCGAAGTAAAACAATTCCTAAATGAATAGAATAAAGAATATTATACTTAAGTACATATATAAAATTATTTGTCTTTTAATGTTGTCACACTAGAAGTAAACGATCTGATTCAATGTTACTACTATATCAATGTTATAATTTTTTATTCGTAAATAGACGTCTTATTCATACTTTGTAATCCGTATATTTACGAACTGAAAATCGCCGTCGTAATTCTGGGAGATTCAATTTAAAATCACTTGAAGCTCGACCATTCGGGGATGTACGAATAATTGGTATTTCCTTTGCAGTTGCAGTCAAAAATCTCTAGAGATATCACCCAATAGAACCGCGTCAAATCCAATTTCCTAACGAATTGCTTGTTTTAGCAAAATCCGAAGATATCTGGGAACTCCACAAACTGTCTCTATACCTAATCTCTTGGCATTACTTGCAGCAGACTAAGTGTTTGTTTGTACGATACCCTTTTATTCACGGTAATATTATAAAGAGGTAGGATTTTATTGTTCGCAAGGAATAGGTTTCGTAACTGCCGTTTATACCGTTCTGAGACATTTCTTCTGCGAGAATAAGAGGCCCGTAAGAAATTTGCAATATTTTAACTCAAGTTATTACAAAGATAATCTATATTAGAGGACGCTGTCTAAATTATTCATGACAAAAACTATAATATTATAGAGTCAGTGGTGGCTCAGTGGTTAAAGGGCCCGCCTCTCGTCGCAGAGGGCGCGGGTTCGATTCTGGCCCGGGCAAGTACCAATGTGATTTTTCCGAATCATATGTACTTTCTAAGAGTATTTAGACATCACTGATTCATGTTGATTCCCAAAAGAAGGTTGATGTCAGGCAGGCGGCCGGTCGTAAAAACAAATAGCCAAAAACTATTCATAACATGTAAGGCAGACCCTGGCTATAGCTGGGAAATTGCCAGGTAGAAGAAGAAGAAGAAAAACTATAATATTATAAATTAAATATATGTACAAAAAAGATGAGGAAGGCAATGCGTCATGATTATGTAACAATAGTAATTGCCCTTAAATTCTATTCTGCTATCCATAGTAATCATATTTTATTGTAAAGAAATTATAAGGAACAATTTTATTAGGATGTTTTCAATTATCAAATTCATTATGTAATATGGAACGTCTATGTTGGTAGTATTTGTTTAAACTCCTGATACTTTTGTGTTTATATCTATTACTATAATTCGTATTTTCTGGTGAATCTTAAAATAAAGTTGAATAATGGGGTTCACAAACATATAATAAAAAGCCAGAGATAAATCACTCATATGAATATTCTTAACTCTCGTAAATTCTTGTGTAAAAGGTTATATTTAAATTAGAACATTAAACTTTTTTTCTAAATAACGAGAGTTATATTACCATTACTACATTGAATTCGCCATAAAAAAGTTTAGACGCTTTTCCTCCATATATCACGACCTAATTTCCAAAGTTTTCGTTTGGGACCTTCACAAAAATCCAACGGTGATCCAGTCTAAATACGTTTATTAACATTCTCAAATTACTTTGAATACACTAAAATTAGTACAAATCTTGATTAGATATAGATGAGAGCTTACTCAAAATAATATTTCTATATTCATAAATGTTTATTTAAAAATATTTCATTTTAGTTATTTTACAAATTCCTTTTTCTAGTTGTGTAGATTATTTTCTTATACAAAGACATTTTCTAAATATATCAATATACCAAAGTTAAAAACGTGTACTTATCTGACCAATATAAAGACGAATATATTATGAGTTAAATTTAATATTAATGATGACAAAATATAAATTCTGTAAGAAAGGTATTCCAGCAATCTATAGGAAATAATTCATACTTACATTATGGTTTAAATTAAATCTATCTAGAATATGTTTGAAGTGGTTTGCAATATTCAAATTCCTACGTTTCACCGAACATTTGTCACACAGATGAAATCGTAGAAATTTAAGTGCAGGTTACGCTTTGAAACATTTGTTTTGATCGAGCTATTGAAGAATTCCTCAGGATTTTATTGAATGGATATTTTAGAAAAGACGTGACGACACATAAAAAATGTGTAAATTTGTCGAATTATACATACGAGTATGTATTTTTGTTAAATTCATTACTTAAAATAACTTTTGATTCCCGTTTTATTGTTTTTCTTTGTGCTATTTATTGCTCGAGATAAAATCGACATTCAGATTATAAATTCAGTTCCACTTATTTTTCCTCTACGATTCATAAGTGTTTTCACGAAATCTATATAAATAAAGTTATTTTTAACTTTATATTTAAATGTGAAATCAATAGTCATAAAACTGTCGTAATAGTGCTTTAAAATATTCATAATGTTAATACTCGTACCACATCGAGATATAATGATCATTTGTGTTTAAAAATATTTTGGTAATATTTTTATCATTAATGAGGTCGTCCTTCCTATTGGTTCTCGATATAAGAGACATTTTAAGGTAACTGCCGACTTTTATGTGCTAAAGTGGCCGGAGTGCACTTGAGAATTTCACGTCACACCTATTAAGGGAGGAAACATGCAATCAATAGCCCTAAAGGGCGCCGAAGGCTTTGGCCAGCTGTTCTTGATCGCTGTTCGGTAACGGATTTGGACCATTGTTGTTTATTTCGACCTTGTACCTACTTTCTTTGTAATTTATGATCGAATAAGCCTTTCCGTTTTCATAATTGAAAGATTTAACATTTATATATTTGTATTATACTTTTGAAATAAGTGTAAAGTATAAATCATAGTTTTATTTATATTTCTCTAAATTTATATTTTATTTTTATTCTTTCGCTCAATCTTTATGGTCTTTGAAATGAAATAACTGTAATATATCTCTAAAATTGTTTCAATTTACTATTAACTGTATTTGCTGGATGCTACAAAAATTATTTTCTCTAGTTTTATAGCATCAAAGATAGTTGACTTTATGTGTGCTGTCGGAGTCAATAAATGTCTATATGTTATTTGTTGATTTTTAAACCCGCTTGAACCTTGTAAGTGCTATTAATGTGTGGCAAAACATTTATCTTAAAGTTCACTTGAAATTTATGACATATTATACATTTAAAAAGAATAAAACTAGCAGCTTATTATTTAGCTGTATTATTTTTTAATACTTTTATCAATCCAAGTAAGATGACTGAATCGTACATAAAAATTATTGGAGGATATTTTTTCGAGCTTAAAAAACTGCTACTAAAGAAAAAACAAAACCGTCTAAAGGCTGTTGAAATCATAATTAAAATAGCATCAACTTAGTAATGGAGCCGTGTTTTGAATGTTTTATTGGCATCTAGAGCAGGCTTTGTAATTCCAATAAGGTATCTTTTACCTTTGCCAATCTGCATTTAAAAATAGTCTCTCGTGGCATATGATAGAGTTTGCTTTTGACTGTATATTTACATGAAAATGACGACTTCTGTGCACTCAAATCCGAGTTGAACGGTATTCTTAGGTTTATTAATATACTTAGGCTTATAAGGTTAGTCGAACCAACTTAATAAACAATCGCGGTGTGCTAATATAGTTTTTGTTATATTATAAGAATATAATTAGGAAATTTTGAAATTTGTTAAAAAAGTCTCTAGGCCTTATAAAATATGGTTGTAATGAAATATTTATAAAACACTTGAATAACGATTTATTTAACAATCAAATAAAAATAAACTAAAAGGTTTATATACAATCATATATTGCATAATATTTCAGTGTTATTTTGTTTGTCAGAAGTACATCTTTTGATAAAATAATTCAAAACTCTATTCAATGCTTATGATATTTTATGGATAGCTTTATAATATCTTGTCACTGGTAATATTGTTCTACAATTTGTAAACTGCCTATTGCCCAATGTATGTACACTGTGAGTCCAAGATAATTTATTGGTACTTCTATTAAAACTGAGTTCTTATACATAACTGCAAAATAATATAGCGACTATACTTTGCATAATATGTACGAACGTTGATTGATTGAACATGCTTTTCAGTACAATGTATTTTCATTTTCAAAGCTAAACTAATACAATTTGCCAAAGGTTCCTGGGATGTCGCAAAACAGTTTATTGGGAACTTTGTGTTTACGGTACACCAGATATTAGGAGCGTCGTCGTGACTCAGGTAAAAGCGATCGAGCCATTTAAGCGTACTATAAATTCATTTTCTTTAAAGTTTTGACACAATATACTTACGTAATATGTAATTTACCTGCAACGTTATGTAGTAATTTTATTAGCTGGAGATGTTCACTTAATTAATTCCTATATTGTATTACGGAATGATGTAAGAATATTAAAACGCGATTATTATGATTTTAGAAAATATACTTACTACAATATTGATTTCAATACGATGTCATCAAAGTATGAACATTGTATAAAATTTGTAATGTCTGTTAAAAATAAAAACCTAACGATTTCTGTGCTGGTCTTTCGATAATCAAATATTACGGATATGATCCACTGTAACAAAAATTATAGGAATTTTAAAAGTCTTTTAATTGGCAAATTTCCAATAGAATAATAAGTCTAGTATTGCTTGATATTTAAATTTCAGGACATATGAAGGAAATGTAAGCAGATAAATTCTTCTGTCAATATCAAGTAATTCCAGATCGCATAGACCGATTCAAACTTATGCTCAGAAATGTATAAAGGAGTTTTGATGAATTGAGTTATTGAGCGTGATGTTTAATGATACGGAGTACGTGAATTTTGAAGAGTTTGTGTTGTTTGTAGTATCCATAGCACATATATAACGATAATAATGATAAATAATATCTTAATACTAATCTCATATATGGATTTTTGTTTGTAGTATGATAATTTTGGAAGAAAGGATAGATCGCAGTAGTGTTAATCGTACGATGTAAAATGTTATACCTAATCTGAATAATATCTTTCAATTTTTGAATTTAAATCAAGAATACCAAATAGGTAAATATTTGCATTGTTTTCGCGACGAAAATGTCAAAGTTAGGCTATTAAATTTAAAATAATATTGATACATACATATACTTACATATATTTAAGCTATTAAGTAAAAAAAATATCTCTATAAATTTTTTGTAAGAAGAATAAAATAATAATATAACAACAAAATGACTTGATAAATAATTATCGTAGTAAAATGTCTAATTTAGTTACATACATACCTAAAAAAATATTAAGATATGTTACTTGATATATATTTTTTAATATTCAGAAAGAAAAAGTCGATTACAACATAATATGTCTTATGTTCATTTCTAAATCACATTACTAAGCAGGTTGGATGCAAAAATGATTTCCTAAAATCACTCTTGGAGGTCTTAAAGTATGTATTTAAAAGTGATTGAAACTTAAACACCATCTCAAATGGTTATTTAATTTCATACAGTGCATATTTTCAAATAGTTTTTTATAAAATGCATATTAAGGGTGATACTGAAAGTCGAATTATTTTATGAGATGCAAGTACAAGTCCTCTCTTCAACTAAGTAGTGAAACTTAATAAGTACTGGGATAGGTAAGACATAAAACATGTCTACAGCTTAGACAAAAGACAGCGTCAGTTGGTATAAATATTACAAAAATATTAACAATTAACGTGTAGAATGAGGTGGTCGAGCCTAACTGTCAGGTCAGTCACTACAGTTCAAACATGGGCTGGCTCGACCGGAGAAGTGACACCTTCTCACAGAAGATCGGCCTGAAATAGTCATTAATGACTGCGTTTCGTCTGATGAGTGAGATAGCCGGTTAGCCTTTCCCGGTTCCCACCCTTTCTTGCAATTAACTTATTCCCATCCCTCCCTTTTCCTCAAAATTAAGGTTGGCAACATCTCTGACGCAACGGTCACTACTGCCCATCTAGTAGGAAGTCTGTTCGTTTGCCACCTTTCTCATAAAAAAAGAAAGAATATATGAAAATATTTTATAGTATTGTTGTTACAATTTTATGTAATCAAGAGATATTTTAAAAATTAAATCATAAAGACAATCTTAAGACATTCGTATGTCTGTTGCTGACCTAACTTAAAGTACTGTCATACTTTTTGCATTCACTCTTCGGATACTGTGAGCATACTATATTTTTATTTGTCTTGAGATAAAGTTTCCTCGTTATCATCTTATTAGTGATGTTAAAACTTTGGACTTTTCTAAACGGATTATGTTCTGTAAAATGCATTATACCAGACATTGTTTCTCATACCTAAAAGAATTGTCTTTTATTTTGTCCAACTTCATTACTCTACTTAGCCATCTCTCTCCAAGAATTTACACTGAAATATATATAGCTTTAATCAATGTTACATATTAAAATAATCAACGGAAATTAAGTATAGTCAATAATAATAAGAAAACTGTTTTATTTACATGATCACATATTAGTAAAGATTACTAATTGTTGCTTCGTATTTTAAATTAACTCCTTAGAAGAAGTACAATTTTCTTCGTAAAATTTCTTACACTACAAAAAAGAGTTATAATATTTTCCTAAGTATATCTATACTTTATAATAAGTAAGTTGTACATGTAGGAATATAAGATAAAAATGGATAGATGGATGGGCCATAATTCAAGGCATGAAGTTCTTTTAAACTGAATAATAGTTGAAATCGGATATATGTAATTAGTCCAAGGACCAAATTACAACACCAGAATAATAATTAATTCGTTTTCACAAATTAATTATTCAAAGAGTCAAGGTTAACAGGCTAAGTGCAACTAGTGCACAGCGCCACGTCAGAGCCAAGACTGCTGTAGAATAATCGCGCACGTCTTTTATACAGCTAGTAGTGGGGAGAGTGGGGCATCGAATCACGCGCTCGGTGGCGTGATCGGTGCACGTGTTGGTTATAGTTATGTTTAGTTGGCGCGCTAGTACCAACATACACTTACTTATAACCATGTATTTATAATAGAAATTTATACTGACAGCACTTAGCTCGGAAGGCGACAAATGATTTGATTTAAATCACACACCCATGTATCTTATTTAGTTATATATCATAAAAATTCAGTTAAAACGATGTCTAAGTCACGTAGCACTAATGCACAAAGAGTAAAAAACCTTGCAGAACGGTAATGGAAATATTAAGTTACCGGTCGCGAGAGGGAATTGATTTCACTGATCTAATAAAAGTGGGTATCGGGACTCGGCTCTCGTCTCGAGATGTATTTGATATCACGTGTCAAAGAGTAAGTGGCCTTATAAAAGTAAAATTAAAACCTATAGCTTAATACATTCGGATGCGAGATCCGTTTGTTTTAAAGGGAAAATAATACATATAAAGATTCCAAGAACAAAATATATTTGTTTATTTCATATTAACCCTAACATAATAAAGATCGTTTAAATTATTAATATTATAAATATGATATAATTATAATTCAGATCCTTGTAACAGAAATAAAATATCGGTGTACTGTATGTTTTACAGTAAATATATATAATTTTTTTTTAAATTGTGTTTTTAATATATAGAATTAAATATTTCGTTTTAAAAATTTAAAAAATATTTTGATTCCCACTAGCCAAAACGTATTTTGATAAAAGTTTTATTTATAAATCCATATAAGTAATTTATCAATGTGTAATTTTTCTAAT